GGCTCTGGGCATGCTCTTTGTAAATAAACAGGATTGCACCAAAGGAACACCTGACTCCCGTATCAATTTCCTCTTCCAGCCGAAACAACGTAGAAGGCCCTGAACTTTGGTTACCCACTTGGCTCAAAAGGGGAACAATATATATACAGAGAAAGCATGTTTAGTACCCTGGAAAGCAATATAGGGCTTGTAATGATAAAGAAAAAAATAGTACAGAGTGAATCTTTAAATAGAATGACATGTATCTCTTATGCCAAATATTGTTGCACTTAATAGTTGTTTCTACAGCAAGCCTTGTCAGTTTTATTAATGAATTGATATTGTGCAGCCCTTGGAAATGTGAACTGCTATAAAGTGCCAAGGGCTGCGATCTGCAGAGTTAAACCAAGCACTTGTGTTGACAAAGGTAAAAGCCTTCCAGCAACTAGTAATGGATTTAAATATCATTGTGGTCAAACTGGAGCTGTCACAACCCCCTGAGCCTGGATCTAGTTCTGGGCAGCCTCAATATTTAGGAATAGTCTGAGCCAAATTTTGTGAAGGCTCATGATGAGTTATTCGGATCTAGCTTAGGTTTGCATATAGTGTTTATCACAGTAAGAGCTAAGCACAGAATTTAACCTGACTGGAGGTTTTAAAAATCCAGGAGTTGGTTTCCATCGCTTCTTTCAGCTGCGACTGTATCCATTTATCCTTGGAAAGGCTTTGTGGATGTCAGAAAATACACATCCCGACTTGTAAAGCATCCTGGAGGATTTCAGCAGAGCATTTCTCATCCAGGCAAGTTTCGGAGGAATCCAGGCTCAGTTCAAAGGAGGGGATACAACCAAATTTTTTAGTCTAATATGTCAATTTCAACAGCCAGGATGGGAGGGGCAGGAAAGGGGGCCTGAGGGAGCCTGGAGGTGGGCATAAGTCACCCAGGAACCTCAATGCCAATGGGTAGAGGGCACAGGGAATGCATGGGGTTCTACAGGGGTCCCTGGGTCAGACATATGCATAACAGGTCACTAAAGGATGGCATGTGAGATCTCTACTGAGATCCAGTAGCCCACCCATCATAATCATTGTGAAATGTATGTACGGCTGCTATATAAGAAGTTATGTATCTATTAGAGCTGTCAAGCGATTAAAAAAATTAATCACGATTAATCACACTGTTAAACAATAATAGAATACAATTTATTTAAATATTTTGGATGTTTTCTACATTTTCAATTACAACACAGAACACAAAGTGTACAGTGCTCACTTTATATTTATTTTTTATTACAAGTATTTGCACTGTAAAAAAACAAAAGAAATAGTATATTTCAATTCACCTCATACAAGTACTGTAGTGCAATCTCTTTATCATGAAAGTTGAACTTACAAATGTAGAATTACGTAAAAAAAACTGCATTCAAAAACAAAACAATGTCAAATTTTAGAGCCTATAAGTCCACTCAGTCCTACTTCCTGTTCAGCCAATCACTCAGACAAACAAGTTTGTTTACATTTGCAGGAGATAATGCTGCCCACTTCTTATTTACAATGTCACCTGAAAGTGAGAACAGGCATTTGCATGGCACTGTTGTAGCCGTCTTCGCAAGATATTTACATGCCAGATGCACTAAAGATTCATATGTCCCTTCATGCTTCAACCACTATTCCAGGGGACATGCGTCCATGCTGGTGACAGATTCTGCTCGATAATAATCCAAAGCAATGCGGACTGAAGCATGTTCATTTTCATTAACTGAATCAGATGCCACCTGTAGAAGGTTGATTTTCTTTTTTGGTGGTTCAGGTTCTGTAGTTTCTGCATTGGAGTGTTGCTCTTTTAAGACTTCTGAAAGCATGCTCCACACCTCATCCCTCTCAGATTTTGGAAGACACTTCAGATTCTTCGAGTGCTGTAGCTATCATTAGAAATCTCACATTGGTACCTTCTTTATGTTTTGTCAAATCTGCAGTGCAAGTTTTCTTAGAATGAACAACATGTGCTGGGTCATCATCTGAGACTGCTATGACATGAAATATATGGCAGAATGTGGGTAAAACAGAGCTGGGGACATACAATTCTTCCCCAAGGAGTTCAGTCACAAATTTAATTAACACATTTTTTTCTAAAGAGTGTCATCAGCATGGAAGAATGTCCTCTGGAATGGTGGCCGAAGCATGAAGGGGCATGTGAATGTTTAGCATATCTGGCATGTAAATACCTTGCAATGCCGGCTACAAAAGTGCCATGCAAATGCCTGTTCCCACTTTCAGGTGACATTGTAAATAAGAAGTGGGCAGCATTATCTCCCGTAAATGTAAACAAACTTGTTTGTCTGAGTGATTGGCTGAACAAGAAGTAGGACTGAGTGGATTTGTAGGCTCTGACGTTTTACATCGTTTTGTTTTTGAGTGCAGTTATGTAACAAAAAAAATTCCACATTTGTAAATTGCACTTTCATGACAAAGAGATTGCACTACAGTACTTAGGGTGAATTGAAAAATACTATTTCTTTTGTTTATCATTTTTACAGTGCAAATATTTGTAATAAAAAAATAATATACACTTTGATTTCAATTACAACACAGAATACAATATATATGAAAATGTAGAAAAACATCCAAAATATTTAATAAATTTCTATTGGTATTCTATTGTTTAACAGTGCGATTAAAACAACAATTAATCGTGATTCATTTTTTTGAATTGATCGCGTAAGTTAACTGTGATTAATCGACAGCCCTAGTCTCTATGTTGAAAATTAAGGCAGATCACCAGAAGGTGATGTGTCTCAGACATGTTCCTTTCAGGCAGGACGTAACAGAGGCACACCTCCCAGTCTGCTCATGTGCGTCTAGTCTGTTGTACACCTCACAGTGTAAGTCTAGGCAGAAGAAAAGATTCTGAAATCTACAAGAGAGGAACGTCACAGGATAAACCAAACAGCAGGGGTATCCTCTTTATGACTAAAGACACAGGATTGTTAAGGTCAGGGCCGGCTCCAGGGTTTTGGCCGCCCCAAGCAGCCAAACAAAACAAACAAACAAAAAAAAGCCACGATCGCGATCTGCGGCAGCAATTCGGCGGGAGGTCCTTCGCTCCGAGCGGGAGTGAGGGACCATCCGCCGAATTGCCGCCGAACAGCTGGACGTGCCGCCCCTCTCCGAAGTGGCCGCCCCAAGCACCTGCTTGGTAAGCTGGTGCCTGGAGCCGGCCCTGGTTAAGGTATATCTGGAGGCTCCTCCATCTAGGAAGCAAATCAACAGGTGTTTGTGTTACGAAAGGAGGGTCACAGCCAGCCTGGCTGGAAAATGCGGGTGAGCAATATTCCACAGGCTATGAAAGTATCTTGTTAAGGAGGTCAAGACTCTAGAATGCTTGTTAGCATTTTGGTTTATGTAACCATTTGTTTCCAATATTTCTACTTGCTACTGCCTGAGTCTCTGGGCTGTTCAGTAAACCTAGGCCTGCTTTCACTATAAACCAGGGATCGGCAACCTTTGGCACGCAGCCCATCAGGGTAAGCCCCTGGCAGGCCAGGCCAGTTTGCTTAACTGCCACGTCCACAGGTTCGGCCGATCGCAGCTCCCACTGACCCTGGTTCGCCGCTCCAGGCCAATGGGGGCTGCAGGAAGGGCGGCCAGCACATCCCTCGGCCCGCACTGCTTCCCGCAGCCCCCATTGGCCTGGAGCTGCGATCGGCCGAACCTGCGGACACGGCAGGTAAACAAACTAACCCAGCCCGCCAGAGGCTTTCCCTGATGGGCCGCCTGCCAAAGGTTGCCGATCCCTGCTATAAACAGATCTGAGCGCTGTGTGTTAAGCGGAGCGGTGATCCAAGGCGAAGCTGGTGATCCGAGGCGAAACTGTTTCTTTGGAAGCAGCGACTCTGTGAATACTGCGAGTGTCCAGTGAACCAGGTGCTGGCCGCTCCAGGGAGAGCTCAGGGGGTTGGAACGTGCGTCACTCACTTGGGGAGAGAGAGAGTTGGGGAACTGACCCCCAGCAGGCACTGACGAGGCTTCCTCACACTAAGGGGAGGTGGTAGCAAGGAGCCTCCCAGCCCTAAGTCCTCCTGGGAAGCATCACATCTGGGCTAGGGCGTTGTCGTGTTACTAGCATGGCAAGAGACGTTGACCAAGTGAATCTATTTTGTATCTGTGCCTTGAAGATGGTTTTAAAAACAGCCCTGGAGCCAGATCCACTGCGGCCATCGGGTATTGACGTTGTGCTGGTTCTTGGGGAGACCCGGGAGCCTATGGTGCCCGTTTCCCACCCCGGGGGTTTGCACACCCTGACTTAACTTTTCTGGGGCTCCTTTGACTCTCAGCTAAGGTCCAAAATGGCAGACCGCCATGTGCGATTTGAGGCAGGTTCACAAAATGCTGGAGGCTTGGCCAGAACCAAGCAAGTTTTGTGTCTCTTCAAGTTTAGGGGGTCCTGGCTGTATAGGGGAGGCCTATTGGGGGTTGGGAGCTCTGATGGGGAGGTTGGGGGGGCCTGGCTGGGGGTGGCTAGAGAGTCTGTCTGGGGTATGTTGGGTGGGGGAGTAAAACCCTGGCTGCGGGATGGGGGGGGTACAGACCTTGGCTGGTGGCTGTGGGGGGGAGAGAGCTTGGAGGGGTGGGTGTGTGGGGGGGGTACAGAACTTGCCTGTGGGGGGGTGGGAGGGCTGGGGGATGTAGGTCACAGACTGTCTGGGGTGTGGGGGGGGGTCACAGACTCTGGCTGGGGCTTGTGCAGGGGAAGGGGGAGGGGAGTTGATTACATTTGGTAACTGGCCCTTTAAGACCCTCCTCTCGCTGAGGCTCCGGAAACCGATTTCTGATTGGTTGGGGCCCCTCTCGCGCGCAACCGAACTTGACGCAGCCAGCGCGCACTGCCGTAGCCCCGCCCTCTGTCTTTGACGGAGGCCGCCCTGGCCAATCACCGCCTGCCTTATCTGCATATTGCCTTCAGGGTGGCCAATCCGAGTCCTAGCTGTGGGTAGCTCATTAGCATAACGATGGCGGGCGGGGCGGAGGGTGCAGGGAAGGGCGGTTGAGACTGAGAGACGGGGTTGCTGAGCCAGGGAAGTTTGGGGAGGTGCGGGGGGCTGGGGGATTGGAGGGGGAGAGGGCGGGGGAGGAGGTGGGGGTGCGAGGGGCTGGAGCGGGGGGCTGGGGGATTGGAGGGGGCGGGGGAGGAGGTGGGGGGTGAGGGGCTGGAGTGGGGGGCTGTGCGATTGGAGGAGGTGGGGGGCGGGGGTCTGGGGCGGGGGAGGAGGAGGTGGGGGGGCGAGGGGCTGGAGTGGAAGAGGGCGGGGGGCTGTGGGATTGGAGGAGGTGGGGGGCGAGGGGCTGGAGTGGGGGGGCGGGGGCTGTGCGATTGGAG